TCTGGGCCTGGGCGCTGTCCCTCAGCTCTTCAGCTCAAGGCTAGCGCTCTACCACTTGAGCCACAGTGCCACTTCCGGCTTTTTTCTTTTTGCTTATATGGTGCTGAGGAATCGAACCCAGGGCCTCAGGCTTGCAAGGCAAGCGCTCTACCACTGAGCCAACTTCCCAGCCCTCCAACTTTAATATTTTTGACTATACCCTTTAGATATTTTTGTTTTGTTAAAAAGGTAAACTATACTGTTAAGACTAAGAGGTTAAACATTGATAATTTAGAATTCACTAAACCACACCTACATACATACATACATACAGTCTCTATAGGTATTGTGCCAACATGTTGCCTATACTACCTTTTAATAAGTTTTATATGGCCAGTTAGTTATATAAATGAAATTAGGAACATTTTAGCACCTTAAAAATCCTTTAAACTTAGTTAACTATAATCAGATTTTAACACCAACTATACTGGTCCTTAAAAATGATTACCCATAATGCTACTCAGGAAGCTGAGATCTTCGAATCATGGTTTTGAGGCCAGCCCCCAGAGAAATCTGTATGACTTTTATCTCCAGTTAAATCTACAAAAGTGGAAGTGGAGCTGTGGCTCAAGTGGTGAGCTCCATGCATTGGGCTCTCATTCAACATTTTATACTCATGAGTTTATGTCCTAGTAATGGGGGAAAAACTTTAAAATTTGTTAAGTAAAAAAAAAAATCTGTTTTTATAAGCATCTTACAATTCACATATTCTTAAGATACAATGAAACTTTACAATGGAATTTTCTTGATCTTCCATGCCATGTTCTTCACTTCTTTTCCCTTCACCTGCAAAAAGTAGTGATTTAGTGATATGACAGATAGGCACACAAGTCTGGATTTTATTAGGTATTTCCTTATTTCCTGCACTCCTACTTATTTGAGTGTATATGCTAGTTTTTCCAGTCTAATCTGTCTGAGTTTCATGTGCTCTAAATACATTGGATATTAAAGCAGTGATTAATGAGGATTTATCTCCTGGAAGTCTTGGGCTCTGACTTCCTCTTTGTCCCTATCCCTGGTCATATTTCCTAGAAGTCTCAGGCTCTTTTCCTATCTGTCCTGTCCCTGGTTGTATTTCCTAGAAGTCTCAGGCTCTTCCTCCTCTGTCCCTGTACCTGTGGTGTTGTCTTGGGTGGTCTTGCTCTAACTTGCTTGCTGTTTATCCCCTGCCCCATGTTATTTGCTTTCTTAAGCCACTGAAGTGAAGCTTTTGGCACAGTCAACACAACTAAGACATGAATGACAGAGTAAACCCAGCTCTGTTGTTGGGGATCAGAGGGGAGGAGGGAAGAGCAGAAGGCAAAATGAGGGTGAACATGACTAAAGTCATTTGTGTAAATGGAAATAGAACAGTGAAGCCTGCTGGAATGGTTTTAGAAGGGCGAGTGAATTTAATCAGGTTACATCTGTTCGAGGTCACAGTGAAACCCACCTCTGTATGCTAATCAAAGGGGATAAAGAAGCCTGTAAGTAATTCTCCTGAGTTTCACAGTATAGTCCAAGCTCCAGGTGTCTTCTCCTGTAAGGTGCATGCATTTCTTATAAATACTCAGTAGCATCCAGCAGTGGGAAGACCTTAACCAGAAGCCAAAGTTAGTGTGGCGTGGAAACCATTACATATAAAGTGGCATCCAAGTGGTCCAGTCATTGACCAAGAGTTTTAGCACTAGGGAAACAAAGCACTGTTTTATTTACATTACTCTCCATGGCACATGAGTTTTCTCAAATGCCTTTGGAGTCTATGCATATACAATGTATTTGTTTACTAATATGCACAAATGTAAAGCACAGTTATAAATTGGTTTCAAGTGAATATCATGATCCAGTTGTGGCTTGTATCCACACTATTTTTGAAAAGTACATTTAAAGTAAAAGGTAGTTTTATTACAGTGGCTAATCAGTTATCTTAGTGACAGTCAGCATATATTAAAAAACGATGTATAACAAATTGTTTAAAAGGTGCCAGTGGTTCATGCCTGTTATCCTAGCTAGGAGGCTGAGATCTGGAGGGTCACAGTTCTAGGCCAGCCTGGGCAGAGAAGACCAACAGACTCTGTCCCCAAAATACCTAGCACAAAATAGGGCCAGAGGCATGACTCATGTCAGCTGAGCAAACAAGCTGAGCTGGCTCATGATCCTAAGTTCAACTCCCAGTACTGCCACACAAAAAAAGAAAGAAAAGGAAGTGAAAAATCCAAAGTACCAATTAGCAATAAAAGCTCTTTTTGCATGACAAAATGGTCCAATTGCCTTTTCTGTTGTCATTTTTGTGATTAAGGAGAAGGGATGTTTTGCATTGTATTCTTCTTTTTGTCCCTGAGAAGCCCTTTTTCTTTTTCTTAGTGCTAGTAGTGGAGTTTGAATTCAGTGCCTCATGCTCTTATCTGGCTTTTTCACTCAAGGTTGGTGCTCTACCACTTTAGCCACACTCTTCCTTCTGGCTTTTTGCTGGTTAATCGGAGGTAAGGGTCTCATGGATTTATTTGTCTGGGCTCTCTCAGCACGGCCCTCCTCAGATCTTAGCCTTCTGATATCTTGGATTGGAGATGTGAGCCACCTGCGCCTGACTGGGTACTCACTTGCCTCTTCCACTGTAGGACTTCTTCTGTATAGTCTCTTTGTCATTGTTAATGTTCAGTCTTCAGTTTAATTGGAACATTCACGTGTCCTTTTTGAGTGACATCTGTCAGGTGGCTCCAGACTTTAAACATGATCCCTAACTGGAATAGTTCATGATTTACATGTACAGATATCTAGAAAGATCCTTAGAACTCCAGTGGCCCAGGAGAGCAGCTAGGAGCTGGCAGATGTTAAAGAGCAATACCACCTTCTTCAGAGTGGACCCCTTGAATATAAAATATGTGGGGGTGCTGGCCATGACTCCCCAGGGGCTACTCTCAGTTTATGAGTGTAACCCAATACAGTCACTTGTCAGAATACAATGTGGTGGAGGCAGAAGGATGGTGGTGAAGACTAGCTCCTGTGTGAAGCCGGAATCCTGGCTTCAAGGCTTTTTTATTTTCCTACCAAACTAAATATTCCTTCTAGACTATCCTGTGGGTGAAGAGTATAAACAATGTCAGGAAGCCGGGCACCAGAGGCTCACGCCTGTAATCCTAGATACTCAAGAGGCAGGGGTCTGAGGATCATGGTTCCAAGCAGCCTGGGCAGGAAAGTCTGTGAAATTCTTTATCTCCAAGAAACTACTCAGAAAAGGTTAGAAGTGGTGCTGTGGCTCAAGTGGTAGAGCGCTAGCCTTGAGTACAAAGAGCCTCAGGGACAGTGCCCATGCCTTGAGTTCAAGCCTCAGGACCAGCATTTAAAAAAAAGAAGAAGGGCTGGGAAGGTGGCTCAGTGGTAGAGTGCTTGCCTCGCATGCCTGAGGCCCTGGGTTCGATTCCCCAGCACCACATAAGCAAAAAGAAAAAAAGCCGAAAGTGGCGCTGTGGCTCAAGTGGTAGAGTGCTTGCCTTGGCTGAAGAGCTGAAGGATAGCGCCCCGGCCCAGAGTTCAGGCCCCACAACCGGACCCCCCCCCCCAAAAAAAAAAGAAGAAGAAGAAAAGACAAAGATTACAATGGGGACATTCCTTTTTTTTTTTTCAGTCTTTGAGTAGTTGTACAAAGGAGGTGCCTGTAACAGCAGGTTATGAATGCAGTGCATCTTGATCAACACTTCACCCTCTTTTACCCAAACCTTCCCTTTTTCTTAATTTTGTGGTATATTCTTGACTGTATTCTTCCACTCCCCTTTCCCTTTCATCCATCTGTATGGAAGTGATTGAGATGGCTTTGGAGAGGCCTAGAGTGTTGTCTACTCTCTTATTCATGATGGGCTGTTATTTGGATTCTTAAATTTTTACAAAGAAATTTTTTTTTGTTTTTATTATTGTTGTTGTTGGTTGTAGAGCTTGAACCCTGGCCCTGGGTGCTGTCTCCGAGTTCTTCAACTCAAAGAAAGTGCTCTACCACTTGAGCCACAGCACCACTTCCAGTTTTCTAGTGGTTTATTGGAGATAAGAGTCTCTCGGGCTTTCCTGCCCGGGCTGACTTTGAACCGTGATCCTTAGATCTCAGCTTCCTGAGTAGCTAGGATTACAGGCGTGAGCCACCAGCACCCGGCTTCAAAGAAATGTTTTGAGATTCAGAACAAATTATCATATTTAAGAAAGAAACCACCTGACCTCAATTCTTTTATTTGCTTTTATTATAGATCAATGTACAGTAACTCGGACCTATCTGTTCCTTCACAAGTTCTGGTTCTTCAGCGCAGCATATTATTTCGGGAACTGGGCCTTTCTTGGGGTAAGGATGGACAGCCCTCCGTGCAGTGAGATGTGAACATTCCTTCCCTGTGTCTTCATAGTTCCTCTGTGTCCTGGCGGTTTGTTGACATTGGAAGGAATTGCTTCTGAGCAGTTTTGGATTTGAGACATAACAGGTGGCTGGTTTTCATCTGCAGGTGTTCTTGATTGGCTTCGTTGTGTCCTGCTGTAAAGGGAAGAAGTCTGTCATCGAAGGAGTAGACGACGACTCAGACCTGAGTGATGAGGACGAGCCCTCTGTCTACTCCGCGTGACTCCGGCCCCTGGTGTGGAGGAGCTGATAGTGTCTGTCCTGCATTTGGAAGTCCTGACGTAACTTTGATGAGCTCTCTGGCTCATTTAAAGTGAGAGAGCATGGCCAAGAAAAAGCTATATTTTTATGTTTTCTGAGATAACATTATTGTATCATAGATTAACACTGAAAAGTATTATAACAATTCTATGTAAATACAGAACTACTGGCTTTGTGAGAGAAGTTTGTGGAAGGACTTTTTTCTTTAATGTATAATAGTATTGAATTGATTAAAATCCTCAGAATTAATCTCTTCATTGCTTTTTCAAGCATAATAAATTACTTGTATCAGTGCCTTACAGTCTCCAGAAAAATGTTGAATCTCAAAGTATCTGTGTCCCATCGTCTGAAGTAATACCGCAGGATAGCTGATGAGTAAATGCCACTCCCATTTGCAGTGTGTTGTCAGTTTGATACATAATCGTAAGTGTCCTTCCAGTTTCATACTCACACAAATTCAGTCTGCGCCAGGCCATGGCATCTAAGGTACATTGTAAGTGACATTGTTCAAACACGGGTCCCTTGCCTGTCCTGCCACTCCAGAAAAGCATTTGTGTGTATTGCTGGATGTAGCATTAACTTTTGAGATGACCTTTGCATTCCAGCATAAGTGGATACATTGAGAATACTTGTACCAGCTGGATGCCAGTGGCTCATGCCTTGTCATCCTAGCTACTCAGGAGGCTGAGATCTGAGGATCACGGTTCAAAATCAGCCTGGGCAGGAAAGTTCATGACACTCTTATCTCCAATTAACCACCAGAAAACCAGAAGTAGAGCTGTGGCTCAAGTGATAGAGCACTGGCCTTGAGCTGAAGAGCTCAGGGACAGTGCCCAGGCCAGGCCCAGAGTTCAAGCCCCATGACTGACAAAAAAAAAAAGATAGTTGTTCATGAAAAACTCAATTACTGGTCATTTTAATATCTGGCATCATACAGAGATTTCTTTAAGGATTTGAAATTTGTGTAAGCTATAGTCAAAGCTATGTAACATCCATAGAGTTTCTGAACACATTCTGTATAATAAAAAAATTCTTAAGTGGTTAATTTATAAGCATAAAACAGAACTCATTAAAAATTACAGCATTTTCCTTGAAGTGAAATTCTCTTAAGCTTCTGAAAAATACTGGAAAACTAACAACCATCTCCAACTACATATCCTGTCCTTTAAAAAAATGTTTTAATTTTATTATTATAATAAAGGTGATGTACAGAGGGGTGATAGTTACGTAAGTCAGGCAATGAGTACATTTCTTTTTGGACAGGGTCACCCCTTCCCTCATTCTCCTCCAGGTTTTCCCCCCACCCCTACCCACAAGTTGTATAGTTTATTATCAACATTGTGTCTAGTAAATACCACTGCTGCATTTGTTCACCCTTTGTCCCTCCATTTCTGTGCCTTGCCCTCCAAAGACAGTGAAAGGAATAAACAAGACCAAAAGAGAAGAAACCAGAAATAGCAAAAAACAAACTCTTGTTACCATTTACTGGAGTTCATTGATAGGTGTTATTGTATATACACATAGGCATTGTGCCTTTGTGTTTCTCCCCTAAGAAGAGCATTCTCCTTTGGTCTCACGTGTGTGGATGCTTAGAGTCGTGTGTCATTTATCATGCCCCAGTATTTCAGATCTAGTTTCCTGTATATGGGAGATAACATGCACCGTTTGTGTCTCTTGAGTTTTGCTTTCTTCATTTAACATGTTTTGTTCTAGATCCATCCATTTCCCCCTGCAAAAGAAAAAAAGTTTGTTCAGTCCAGTAAGCAACTTAACAAGTGTCAGTTTGCTTGTGTCACACGGAAATGTGTGCCACCAGTTCTCGTAGGGCCTTTTTTATTTAATTTATCCCAGGAAGCTTGCAATACAAATTATTCCAGGCACAGCAAGATGGTGCAGCCCAATTAAACACCATAGAAAGCAAAGGGACAGCTAATTCATTCCCAGATTTCCCAATTCTATGTGTAGAGACCTTGATAGTACATTTTTGTCTTTGAAAAGAAAAAAGTGAAGCAAAAGTCGAATTACAGATCCTGACTGGAGTACACTGCCAGGTTTTCCAAGGTGAAAATTCTAGTCTCAGTGTTTTTATTTTATAAATGAAACCCATTTCAGATAATGCTGATCCATACTTTAAGTTCTCTGTTTAGAAAGGTGGCACTGTGTGTGGTGCTGTGATTGGAACCCAAGGCCTCCACACCATCTGTCACCAACTTTTGTCCAGGTGTTTGGTGGTTTGTGCATGTGTGTGCATGTGTGAGAGAAAGAGAAAGGGAGGTTGGCTGAGTACTGGGACTTGAACTCGGGGCCTACTCTTAGCTGTTTGCTTTTTCTGCCCAAGGCCAGTGTCTTACCACCTAAGCCACACCTCTACTTCCAGCTTTTTGATGGTTAATTGGAATGCTGAGATCTCAGACTCCTGGGTAGCTGGGATTACAGGCGTGAGCCTGTAATGTTGGTCTTGCAACAACACCAGCAGCCAGAAGTCACTGGGGGAGCCTTTGCCTAGCAAAGCGAGGCGCATGTTTACCCTCATCTAAACCAACAAGGATCCTGCCCCTCCATTTTTTTGTTTGTTTTTTGTTGGTCTCTCCTGAGATCCTTCTGGAGCTTCCTAAACTCTAAATGTTTGCCTGTTACCTAGAAATGGTGGCATCAATTTTAATATTGAAAGTTGAACTCAGTCTGTCATAAAATGCTGCCTTTTTTCCATTTTTTTGACAAATGGCTGAATCTGTCAAAATTCAGCATACCTGGGTGTCCAAACCAGAAATGATGCAGATTTCTCTATCCAGGTGACCCCTGAATGAGCTGAAATCACCAGGAGACAACACCAACTCAAGAACCAAATCTTGATTACAAGGAAATTTATTAGTAAAAGGAAATTTTGTTTTTTATTGTGAACATACTGTACAGAGGGCTTACAATTACATGGGCAAGATAATGAGTACATTTCTTATCAAGCATTGTAGCCTCCTCCTTTGTTTTCCCTTCCCATCCCTTCCCATCCTCCTCCCACCCCCCTACCCAATCCCCCCCCCAAAGGAAATTTGTCAACAGCCAATTATATCCGGACAGGACGACAACTAGCTATAGGGAACCCAGAAACAGCAGTAACAACAAGCAGAGGGTTTTATACTGGCGGTAGCGGGGAGGGGTGCAGTGGTCATGTAAATGGGATCTGTCCAACTCCTATGTTTTGCAAGGCAGGTAAAACACAGAAGCAGAACACAGAAGCTAAATATCTGGTTGTCAGGGGAAAAAAAAAAACTGTAGGCGCTAGGCCCACCGCTCAGAATAGAATTGTCGCCCACCAACTCCCTCCTGTCATGAGCTGCTGTTCCTAGGGGCTTCTGTGAGTGTGTCTAGTGGTTTCTTGGCCGGGCTTCCCAGCATCATACCCACCGCTGCCTGGCTTTCCACACGCTGGTTTTCCTGCCGGGTCATGTGTATAACCGGTTTGCCTGGCCTCTCCCGGGTCACGTAGCATCTACTGTGCTCGGATGCTTTGCCAGTCTATTTAGAGTGATTATTTGCTCTTGTTGAACTTATCCCTCTGTGCTACATCACGGCTTTCCTTATCACTGTTATTATTTGTATTCCTTGGCTTTCAGTCTCTATCCTTCCAGGTGAAGTGAGATATTTATAGACATTTAGTTTGGTCATTTATATATTTTTTCCATCCTTTCAATCACTCTATCCCTTAGTGTTAAATTTTAATCTATGTAAGGAAATTATCAACAGGTAAAGTTTTACCTGTGCCAGTTTGGTATTTGTTTTCTGTTTTCAAAGTCATTCCTTTGGTCTTTCTCCCTCTCAATTGTTTCCTTGGATAAGTGATTTTTCAGTAGTGTGTTTTAGTTTCTCACATTCTACTATAGAATTTTTTCTTTGTTACTATGAAATTTACAAAAAATTCTCTGATGATGAGAATTGAAAAATAGTGACTTAACACTGATTGTAAAGATAAGAAACAAAATACAAGTAAATAAACTACAAATGAAAAATCCCTGCATTCCATCTTTCTTCACATTGGGAATTTTCTTTTTGTTTGTTTGGTCAGTTGGGGTGCTTCAACTCTGGCCCTGGGCGCTGTCCCCTCAGCTCTTCAGCTCAAAGCTAGCACTCTCCCGCTTGAACTACAATGCCACTTCTGGTTTTCTGATGGTTTATTGAAAATAAGAATCTCACAAACTTTCCTGTCCAGGCTGTCTTTGAACGGTGATCCTCAGATCTCAGCCTCCTGAGTAGCAAGGATTACAGATGTGAGCTTCACATTGGGAATTTTTGATGTCCAATTTTACATGTTTCTGTATTGCCTGTCTCAATATATTAATGCATTTCCTATTATTTTAAGTGTCTTCATGTTAAAAACATGAGTCATTTCATGAATTGCACCATGTCTACAACATTACAGCATTAATGTTCACAACATTATGGCATTCTGGATTTGTTCCCAACATTACAGCCTCTGAATCTGTTATGACATCACAGCATTCTGGGTTTGTTCATGACACGGCAGCATTCTAGATTTGTTCCCAACATCACAATGTTCTGGATTTGTTCCCACCATTGTAGCATTCTGGATTTGTTCATGATATCACAGCATTCTGGACTTGTGACATCACAGCATTCTGGATTTGTTCATGATGTCACAGCATTCAGGATTTGTGACATCGCAATATTCTGGATTAGTTCCCAACATTGTAACGTTCTGGATTTGTTCCCAACATCCCAGCATTCTGGATTTGTTCATGACGTCACAGCGCTCTGGATTTGCCTTGACACTGAAGCAAGCTCTACGCTGAGTCAGTTACTATGCACCGTGGATTCTTGGTATACCAACCTTCAGTTTCTGCTTTAATCGTTCCTCTATTTCTCTCCTATAACTTAAAAAACATTGCCAACTATTTTGTTGTTTAAACTATTTCTTCCCCCTGCAGTATTCTAATTCCTCATACTCCTCTTAGTTGATGAGACATTTAGCATCTCTCAATTTCTAAGTTGACATACTTAATTTCTGTATGCCTCAATTTATTGACTGTACTTCACTGCTATGTCTAAGAGAACTGAACTTTCCTCATCCTCTTTTCTCTATATCATGTCTTAGATTTTGCTAAATTCATCTTAAAATTGTAGGCCATTATTGGAATTGGAATTGAATTTTCATTGCAGAAATTATTCTGGTTTAGGTGCATGTTCTACAATTAAACAACATTAACTTTAATCATGATATAATGTTCACACTATGTAAAACAAGGTAATGTTTCTTACATTTAACTAACATTCTCAAAGTCTAAGA